CAAGCAAGATAGAGTGCTTCCTGGCCCACTTATTCTAAGACCCCCTACTGGGGAGCCCCCAAAGGACTCCACTAAAGTCCGCAAACCTCCTGAGCTTGTCCACGCAGATTCTCTCTCCCACTCTGCAACTGTCTTCGCTCCGGATTTCATCCCTGGCCTCAGAAGGGCGCCCACTGCGCTGGGTTCACTCTGAAGTCCCTTGTGTTTTCCTTTTGCCTAAGATCACTGACCTCATGAGCCTGTTCCCCATTCTTGTCCACTACTGTCCCCTTGTCCCATCTCTTTGTTCTTTCTGGGCTCCCTTGACTGAAGGAATCTCATGACGACTCCGAGACTGGTACCCTGGCCCTCTCTGCTCGCATGATGCCTTGTCGATGGCAGAGCAGCTGCTGTCCCTCAGCCTGGTTTAAGGCAGCTGGGCTCCCCATGGTCACAGTGTTGAGCCTGTGTGTGCCTTGCAGCTGAGTTCCCGTACCATTTGATGGTGTCTGGAGTGTCGCCTGCAGGTGACCAGGCTGTGGCCCAGGGGTAGAACTAGTCATGTCTCCATTTTTCTCCCTAGCAAATAATCTTTCCTCTTGAGACCTTTTCACCTCATCCTTCCCCTCCAAAAGGAAAACTTACTCATATTACAGTGGCTTTGCAGGGAAAACCAAAAACAGAAAACAACCAGGAGTCATTAACCCCCCCAAAAAAATGCTAGGTAAAGTGACAGATGCATCCCCTCCTCTGGGGACATTAAGAAAGGCCATGGGGCCTTATGGTGCCCTGCCGGAAGGGGACTGGTGTTTCCACAGAAGTTAGCGATCGCTGTTATGTGCAGCGTGCTTGGTGCTTTTCTCAAATCCACATGTTTCCCATGCGCAATGTCTGGGGGCTTAGGGCATTCTTATTTTTCTTTTGGTGTTCTGAGATAGGGTCTCACTGTGTAGTTCAGGCTGGCCTTGAACTCACTATGTAGCCCAGGCTGGGCTTCCACCTGAAGTTAACCTTCTGCCTCAGCCTCCCAGCTGCTGCGATTACAGGTGTGTATCACTACACCTGGCTCTTGGGAATACATTATGAGTATTGTAAGCCCAAGTTCACCTCTCCCTCCGCTGAAAAGCAGGGCCTGTCCTTGCACTGTGACTTCAGGTTGAAGTCCTCACAGTGTGGACGATGTGTCCACCCAGGCGCAGACGTTCTCTGGCAGCCTGTTCTCCATCCAGAGAAGCCTGCTGTCCCTATGAAGTGTTAGGGAAAAGTCTGGGCACGAGCATGTTTCTCACTGACATCATTGTGTCCGGTGGCCACAGATCCTGGCGAACCTGGAACAGGGCCTAGCCGAAGACGGGGGCCTGAGCAGCATCACCCTGGAGAGCAGGCAAGGTGAGCTGGTGGCGGGTGGTGGGGGTCCCTGCTCTCGGCCTCTGGCTCCTCACCCTGCAGAGCACTGCCAACTCCTAAGGTGGCTTACAGCTCCTCTCCCTGGGGGACCTGCCGGTGGCCACACTTCGGGAAGCCAGAGTCCCTTTCCCAGTGGCCATGGGGGCAGGTTTGGGGGAACTCTGCGAGGGAAGACCCGGTTGGGCACAGGGCCATGGGGTGGCAGGAGATGGGACCACAGGCTGCAGGGCAGTGGGCTGTGCTGAGAAGGGTGCACACACACCCGTTTCTTCCACTGTTTAAGACAGGGAATTTGTGAAGAACGAAGGTTTGTGTGCAGCGGGGATCTGGTGAGCCCTCTTGCTGCCTCCTGACCTGGCAGGTGTCACAGGTGTTCTTCTCCCTCTCCTATAAAGCTATTAATGCCACCATGCGGCAATCTCAGGACTTTACTGCTCCCAGAGGCCTTGCCTCCAAATACCACCTACATAGGCCCTCAGAGATGAAGTTCTCCAATAGCAGCAAGGGGCAGGCTGTCAACCTCCAACCTCCAGGGTTGCCTATTCGCCCTTTGGGCATCTTCCCCAGACCTGTGTCTGGCAGCTCCTTCTCCCAGCGCCAGTCCTGCCTGGTAAATCCTAAGACCAGGATATGCACTGGGACAGATGAGACTCCAAGTCAGCAGGACACTGGGTAGGAGGAGAGCATGCAGGATGGGGCTGCCAGGTCCTCACCCTGGGGCCTTCAGGAGCCCATGCGACCCCCTGGTCTGGAGGTGTGTGAGGTTGGGAGGGTGTTTGGGTGTGCACTGTGTGTATCTGTGTATCTGGTACAGTGTGAACTGCTGGAACCTAGGAGGCTCTGTGTTCCCACCCCCTCCTTGAAGAGCATCCCAAAGACACGGAGCTGAGCTAATAGTGGAGCTGCCCCTTCCCACTACCTCTTGACTTGGCCCAAGTCTGGATCGGGTCCCTCTGTTTTTTCATTTTTGGCTGTGACACAGGGTCTCACTGTGAATTTCATGCTGGTTTTGCCTTGAACGCACTGTAGAGCTCAGGTTGGCCTCAAACTTGTGGCAATCCTCCTGCCTCAGCCTCCCAGCTGGGATGGCAGGCAATGTAACCTACCTGGCTTATGCTTGGGTCCCTCTTAAAGGAGTGGACAGGCCAGGGAGATGGCTCAGTGGAATAAGCGATTCCCTGGCAAGCGCAAGTTGATTGAACTCAAGCCTGAGTTCAATCTCTGCTTCCTCCAAAAAAAAAAAAAAGGAGTGGACACACCCAGGACAAAGAGTCGCTGGGGTCAGGTAATACCTCCACCCCTCTGGTCCACAGCCTCATTTTTAACAAAGCATAAATCCTGACGCCAGCTGCGTCTCCAACCCAGACACATCCTGATGCACTCAGTTGCAGTCAGCTGCCTTTGCCTGGGGGCTCTACCAGACCCCAGGGAGCAATGGAAGTAGCGAGCCTCAAAGGCTTGGGGTCAGCAGGCACCCCTGGAGGGAGCAGAGGGCTCAGCTGCCTGCTCAGTGGCCCCAGAGAAGCCTGGGTTGAAAAGCACTTTGGTCTTTAGGGAATATTGGGTATATCACCGAATTGAGGGATGTGGGAGCCGGGCCAGGGTCACTAGAACCAGACGTTTTGACTGCAGGAGCCTCTGACTCCAGGGGCCTCTCCGGTGGAGAACCACTTGGCCCATGCTGGGGCCAGGCAAGGGGCTCAGGAGGTCCTGGGGTGCTGTACCCCACTTTGCCCCTACTTTGCACACCCTAGAGTCCAGGTCAGTACCAGGCCTCTGACTGAGGCTCAATCCCTGAGGGCCCCCCCTGCCACCCTCAGTCCTTCCAGGGTCCTCCTGCAGATTCTCGTCCTGAGTTGGCCTGGCAGAGCAGGGGGATGCCCACTTACACACACCCACCCTCTCCCTGCAGCCTCGGTGCAGCTGTGGCGGACGCGCCTGGGCCGCGTGCTGTACTCCACGGCCAACTGCTTGCTCCTCATGAAGGTAGGTGTGGGTGCCAACGCAGTAGCCCTGGAAGCTGGGGCCGGCCAAGCCTGGCAGAGCCCAGTGACCCTACAGCTGCTTGGTGTTCAAAACGCAAGCAGGGGTCACAGCACCATGTCCCACATGCAAGCGAGTGTGCTATTTCTTTGGAACCGTCCATGCCCCCTCCAGAAGGGTGCCTTTGTTCCCTGGCTCAGGAGGGTGGGACTCCCTCCACCCCTGTGTGATTTTATCCACAGCCCTGGAGCCAGGGCTCAGGCCCCTCTTTTCTGTATGCCCCTCCTAGGCACTGGCATGGGCACCAGCAGCGGCATTGATGGCCCTGCTGGAATCCCACAGCAGTGCAGCTGCACCTTCAGGCTGCTTCACGGAGCACAGTTCCTCCCTCCTGCTTGCAGCTCCTGAGCTGCCCAAGGTCATTCTGAGCTGCCCAAGGTCACTGCTGAGCTGCCGTGGGAGCAGGCTCCCTTTGGGCCTTTCAAAGGGGGGTGCAGAGCTGAGCAGCAGTTGCCCCAGGCCAATCTCCGGGCCTGCTCACTGTATGACCTTGAGGTAGTGCCAGAGGAGGGAGTCAAAGCCTCAGAAATCCCCAGGCCTGACATTCATCTGCCCCCTCGCCTGGCCTTGCAGCATGCTGGATAAAGGAAAAGGCAGTTGTTCTTCCCCCTGTACTCGAGGCTGTCTCCAAAGAGGACAGGCTGCAGCTCAGAGGGCCATTCGCTCCCCCTCCTCCTCTGGTCCTCAGGCCTGGGCACCTGGCACTGCGGCTTGCACCACCTTCCAGCCTCCAGAGCACCCTATATGTTGCCCCAGGGCGCTGCGGAGGCAGCAACTACCCCCAGCCCCCCACCCCAGCTCACTGACTTCCGGTTGCCAGAACAGGCAGATGAAAGACAAATGACAGAGCTCCTGAGGAGTCTTGTGAATCATGGGCCGAAGTCCTCAGTCCTCGGGAGGGGAGCTGCCTGTGGGCAGTGGGCAATTACAGAACACAGTGCTCTTCATGGTTGTGCTGCGGGCAGCAGGGATAACCCCAGGCGCCGATCTTAAGGTCTCTCCCTATTGTTGCGGCTCAGAACAGAGCCGAGTTGTATTGTACTGTGGCTGGTGCTGCATTTGCAGTGACAGGAGTGAAAAATGCCTGAGGAAAGCCGGTCCAAGCACGTGCATGCTGCTGCCCTCTCTTGAGCCCTCACAGTATTGCAACCATGGGGTTCTTTAATTAGGTACATGGCTAAAAAGAGCTTAAAACGGGAGCCATTTAACTATTTGGACAGCATTTCCTACAGCGAAGTCAGTATCCGTTTGGCTTTTATAATGATGAGAAATCCACTCATCCATCCCAGCTCCCTGCATCCGCATGATGCACTGTGAGGTACACTCACCCAGAAAACCCCCACCCCCAGCCTGCCATGTCTGTCACCTCCCCACTTAGGCTTCTGACAGCGGGAAGATGCCACACAGGTGTCCCCACCCTCTGTGGCCCCCCAGTGCTGAGTTCTGAGCCCCAGTGTTCCCATGGTCAACAGACGTAAGCCTTGCCCAGCCCTACTGTCCTGCTAACTCAAAAGGCAAGTGTCCCTGCAGCTTGCATGCCTGCGACAGTTCGCTATGCCCGTGTCATGCAGGAATATGTGTTGGCTGTGGACGCCTACCGTGCTGTTATCCAGTACTATCCCGAGCAGGAGCCTCAGCTGCTGAGTGGCATTGGCCGCATCCTCCTCCAGGTACACAGCTGGCTGGGCTGTGGGCAGGGGACTTCAGGAGCACAGGACCATGGGACACACACTTCACTTCCCAAACTGTGGGCTGCTGCTGTGAGCTTCCCCTGGCTTGAGCACCAGGAAGCCAGGGACTCAGCCGAGAACTAGAGATGCGCCCAAGTACAGCACTTTAGAAATAGGCCCTGTACAGTTAGAAAAGCCTTGACTAAGTTAACCGTGGTGGAGCTTGACTGTGATCCCAGTACTTGGGGAGGCTGAGGCAGAAGGAGGGCGAGTTGGAGCCCAGCCTAGGCAGCTTAGCAAAAGCCTATCTCCAGAATAAGTAAATAAAAAGAGCCAGGGATGTAGCTTTGGGCAATCACCCTGGGTTTAATTACTCAGAAAGAAGGGGGGCACCAGGTCTGGTGGCACACGCCTGTCATTCCAGCACTCAGGAGGCTGAGGCAGGAGAACTGTTGTGAGCTAAGGGTCAGCATAGGCTACGTAGTAAATTTTCTGAATTGTATAGTAAGACCTTGTCTCAAAATAAGAAAAGGAAGGCCATCTGCCCCAGCCTCCTAAGTACTGGGGTGACAGGCAGGTGTCACCATGCCTGGTGCTAAATTTTTACTTAAGTCTGTGCCAGGATTCATCTCAGAGGACAGATTCCTAGCCGTAAGATCCTTAGAGCAGGTATGCCTACAATGTGCTGGAGTTCTGAGGAGAAGGTGACATCCTCCAACCTTCAGTGGTTCCTGTCCTCTTCACAGAATGATCACAAACAACCACTGTAGCTCCCCTGCCTGGCCTGCCCATAGGAGTGGAGCTGGGGAGTATATTTAATATCCCTTTCCTTCTGTCCGCTAACCTGACTGGATTGTTCTGTCCGAGCAGATCGGAGACATAAAAACAGCTGAGAAGTATTTCCATGAGGTTGAGAAAGTCACACAGAAACTGGATGGGCTGCAGGGTAAAATCATGGTTCTGATGAACAGGTATGTACTTAACAGTGGACTCAGGTCTGTCCAATACCCGGTAGGCTGGCTATCCCCAGGAGTGGAATGCACCCCCAAAGCACATGGGTTCCCTAGAACCTCAGTGTTAAAGCCCTGCTCTGTGTCTGCCCACACAGACTCATGTCCAGCACAGAAGTAGAGACGCCTCACTGGGCACTGGGTCCGCTCATTACGGTGACCCCGCCCCGGACACCGCAGCCAGGAAGGGTGTAGAGGGAGGTGCCTGGCTGCCCGGCTCACTGCCTGCTGTCTCCTGTGTTCCAGGGCCTTCCTGCACCTTGGCCAGAACAACTTTGCAGAAGCCCATCGGTTCTTCACAGAGATCCTGAGGTTGGACCCCACCAATGCAGTGGTAAGAGGCCCAGCCACAAACGATCCCCAAGGGACCTTCAGCCTTTTGAGCACTTTGCAGACACTAGAAATGTGTACTCCAAAAATCTAAGCCATGCCAGGGATATAGCTCATTGGCACATGAACCTGCCTGGTAAGTGCAAGGTCCTGAGTTCAGTTCCTGGTTCCAAAAAAAGAAAGAAAAAGAAATCTAAGCCAAACAGCATCGTGGCACCTACCCATCATCCCAGAACATAGGAGGCTGAGGCAGGAGGGTAGCCATGAGTTCAAGGCCATTCTGAACTACATAACTTCAAAAACAAACAAACAAAAAAAGATACTAAGCTGGCCCAGTGCACCCTGGGATGGGCAGGTGCACACCCCGAGCGGCTGCCTCTCCCACAGGCCAACAACAACGCTGCCGTGTGCCTGCTATACCTGGGCAAACTCAAGGACTCGCTGCGGCAGCTGGAGGCCATGGTGCGGCAGGACCCGAAGCGCTGCCTGCACGAGAGCGCACTCTTCAACCTCACTACCATGTACGAGCTGGAGTCCTCGCGAAGCATGCAGAAGAAACAGAGCCTGCTTGAGGCTGTGGCCAGCAAGGAGGGTGACAGCTTCAACACGCAATGCCTCAAGCTGGCCTAGCTGCCCGCCAGGACCACACCCTTGCAGGACCAATAAAGCCCATTCTCTTGGTGTCTAGGAGCATCCTTTACTCTTGTGTATGTATGTGTGTACATGTGTGCACGTGCACATTGGGGGCGTCAACCCAGGGTCTCTAGAGCTATGGCCTCAAATCTGTAGTCCTGCCACAGCCTCCCAGAGGGCTAGAACTATAGGTTGCGCCACCGTGCCTGGCTCCTGGGTGAGATTTTAGTTGAGAACTTAGACCCTCTCAAAGCAGAACAGTTATGAACAGAAGCTGCTCTTGTTTCTCACATTGTTTTCATTGCCACATTCCAGCATGTGGGAGCACTCAATTCGGCTTCCACGCTGACATCCTGCAGTTCCGCAGCTTGCCAAAGATCTGGAGACCTTAAAGCAGCAGAGCCAGCCTCAGGGCAAGCGTTGCTTGCCCCTCACATAATCCATGTGCAGCATCTTATTATTTTTGTCATGAACGGGTTTTTTTTGCAGAACCAGGGATTGAACTCAGGCTCTTGTGCTTTTCAGGGAAGCGCTTATTCCACTGAGCCATCTTCCCTGGCCCTGTCATTAAATTTTCACTCTGTAAATCGTAAAATTATTCCAGATTCCTACAACTGAGTACATGATAAGCTTTCAGAAGAAAGCTGCTTTCAGAGAAATGGCTTGCAAAGCACATGTGGAGTTAGCATTGTGAATCGGTAGGGCAAGCACCACATTCAGCACCTCCCTGGTAGCTACCCGCAGAACCCCCTGCCTGCGGCCGTCCACCAGTCCACCCACCTGCTCTTCCTCCCCCACACCCCCTTGAGGCCCAGAGCTCTACCACACACCAGGAAAGGCAGTCTGTACAGTTAGCTCTCCACCTTCAGTGTATCACTGGCCAGCTGTCTTCTTTTTAATGATTCACAGCTCACAGCAACACCACCAAGGCACGTCTGGAGCTGGTGGGGGCCGTGAACCCATGCAGGGCCTGTGGGCATGGGGCTCCACCTGCCTGGGTCCTGTGTGACTGCCACCATCACAGCTGCACCTGGATGGGTGTCCCTGCTGCTGACTGGCTTCCTGAGCCTGCCATGCCACAGAGCATGGGAGGGCGCAAGCAGTGGCAGTGGTGCGGGCAGGAAGAGGGAGTGACAGCCAGCAAGGCCTGGAAGCGATCTGCTGGATGGAGCTGGAAGCCACAGGAGGGAGCCTGAGCCTACAGTGAGCTTTGTGACTCGAATCTACTCTGTCATGTGCTAAAGTATCATTTCAGTACTACTAGTGAACTTGGTAGCTCTATTTGTTTTTAATATCTTTGCAGAGCTGAGGATCAAGCTCAGGGCCTTAGGTATGAGCTGTGCCCAAGCTGACTCACACTCCCAGTCCTGCAGTGTGACTCCCAAGGCCAAAGTGGAGGTGATAAATGGTGTGGCTGCCTCTGCCACTCCCGCCCATCTCCCCCAGTCCTAGGGACTAAACACAGAGCCTTTCCTCTGACCTCCAGCCCCAGCCCTTTTGAGACAAGGTCTCACCAAGTTGAACAAGCTGGAATGTGCAAATCTCCACTCACCTCCTGGGAGTGCTAGGATTACAGGCCTTGGGCTACCATGCCCAGCTTTGATGTACATTTTAATAGGAAGAATTTTCATCCAGTTTTAAAAAACATACTTAGCTGGCAAGTGCAAGGGCCTGAGTTCAACCCCAGGTTCCGCTAGGTAAATTAAATAAATAAATAAATAAATAAATAAATAAAAATAAAAAACATTTAGAAAACTACTAAAACATTGACTGGGGTTTTTGTTTTTGTTTTAAGATCTTGCTATGAACCCAGCCTTACCCTGAATTCCTGGCAGGTGCACACCTCCAAGCCTGGTAGACTGAAAGTTTTCCTAGGATTGTTGAAAACTGCGCATAATTGTATCTCTGTATTTGTGTTTTGTGTGTATGAGATAGGTCAAGCCCAGAGTCTCCTACAAGCCAGGCAAGCGCTCAGTCTACCCTGCACTGTCCCTACAGGCCAAACCTGAGCACAAACAGTTGCTACTATCTTACAACTTCATTGTGAAAGAACCTAAAAGAAAGTTCACCCCAGATGTTGTGGTTGATATCTGTCAGCTTGGTTGGATCAGCTCGATGGTTCCTGGACCTCCATTGCGGAGGCCCCGCCCTATGGAATGGGGAGGGCTGCCCCAGAGCGACTCAGCACTTAAAGGGTGCATAAAGGGATTGAGGACAGCTTCCCAGCCACTTTTGGAGGAGCTTGATCTTTGCAGCCATGCAACTTCAGAGGAGCTTGGATCTTCACGGCAGCCACCACCACTTCTTGGAGGAGCTCTGATCTTCACAGTTTCGGTGGAAGGAAGAGAGGCTTGAGAGATGCTACAGCTTCTGCGCCTCTGCTCAGGGTCATTTTCTGCCACCATGAACTACTGTCCTCTGCCATGTGCCACTCTGCCTGGGAGCCAATCAAGTATAGATTGAAACCTCCACAAACTGAGGTAAATAAATAAACTTTTCCTTCCTTAATTTTAGGTGTTGGGCATTTCGGCCCAGTAAGGAGTAAAAAGTAACCGAGACACCAGACAACACAGCTAATGCAGTAATAAGCTAAACACAGCACAGGCACACATTTGTATAAGTGGTGCTGCTGGCAGTATCAATGCTGTTCCTACAAGAACAGGAGAGGCAACTCCAGGCCACAATCATAGAGTTAAGGCAATGACTTTATTGTGATAAGGAAGGGACAGGAGAAGCTGGAGGTCACCCCCCCCCCCCGTTCCCATACCAGCTACAGCCCTGGGAGAAGCAGCAGCATCTGGCTGGCCCCACCATCCTCTGGCAATGATGTCACACCCTGAACACTGCCCAGGAGCCTCGCTCTGGGTGAAAGCTTAAGCTGAAGTACACTGCAGTACCTGTACTTCCCAGGGCTCCAGCACCCCTATCTTGCTTAATTAGCAGACATTATGGTGATATTTGCATCCTCAGGTGCTTCTGAGTAAAAAATCAGTTGTACAGCTCCTTTCTTTAAAAATATTCTGGTCAGGTAATCGTGCAGAACAACCCAGACTCAGTGCACAGCAGTGGGCTCCAGGCGCAGCTATGCGGTTTGCTCCAGGAACTTCACGTACTGCTCCCGGGCTGGGAAGTGCTCCGCTGGCCGGTTGTACGCTGTCCACACTGGCTCACCCACAAACAGCCGCATGGCCTTCACATAGTTCTAGGAAGCAGACACTGGTCTCAGCACCACCAGAGCTTCCCTACACGTGGCAGTCAGGAAGCCCCCTGCAGCTGCAACTGAAGCTAAGGGGACCCTGGCAGAGGTAGCCCAGCTGGTGACTGGAGCCCATGTGTCATTCCCCGCTACAGGATGGGGTCAGAAAATCCATGTGGGCCCCACCCCGGCTTAACAGCTGTACTACTATCCTCTCTGTCCTAGGGGTCACACTGTCCTGAAATTAGCAATGGGGCCAGGCATGGTAGCACACAGCTTTGATCCTAGCACTCAGGAGGCTGACGTAGAAGGATCACTACATAGTTACATATTAAGTTTAAGGCTAGCCTGATCTGCATAGCAAGGTCCTGTCTCAAAAGCCAAAAAGCTTTACATAAATCTCATTTATCCAAATCACATCAAGAGCATATAAGAGGGGCT